CAGGAAGTGACCTAGAGATAGTGTCAAAACCTTAGTCACTGAGAGTATCGGGGCCATATTTAGAACCAGTATCATGGCTGGGGGGGGGGGCAGCGCCGGGGGCTGGCGAGGTGCAGGTGCCCTCGGGGGGCAGGGGAGGGTGGGTGCCGAGGTGGAGCCACCGAAGACGGGCAGACTCGGTGGGGGTGGTGGGGGGTGCTGGCGCTCAGATCCTCAGGGCCCTCCCGGGGCACCCCAGTGGCGTGGGCCGCAGTGGCCCCAGTCCCCGTCTGCCGCCCGCAGGGTGAAGTCCTGCAGCCTCACGGCCGCCTGCTGCCACCACTTCGGCTCGATGCTGACCCAGAACAAGCGTCTCCTGGAGCTGCAGCTGAGCAGCAACCAGCTGGGTGACTCGGGCGTCCAGGCACTGTGCCAGGCCCTGGGCCAGCCCGGCACCACGCTGAGGGTGCTCTGGTGAGCCTGCTGGGGTGCGCCCCGTCCGCCCGGGGCTGAGGGCGGGCACAGCTAGGACTCAAACCCGCCCCCTCGCGCTCCATGATCTGGCGGCGGCCTGGGCCCAGGTCGCACAGCCACCTGGGGGCGCACCCTCCGCCTGACCTCGGCCCTGCCCCCTGCCCAGGCTGGGGGACTGTGACGTGACAGACGGCGCCTGTGGAGGCCTGGCCTCGCTCCTGCTGACCAATCGCAGCCTGCGCGAGCTGGACCTGAGCAACAACGGCCTGGGTGACCCCGGTGTCCTGCAGCTGCTGGGCAGCCTGGAGCAGCCCGGCTGCGCCCTGGAGCAGCTGGTGTGAGTGGCCCTGGGGTGCGGGGGACACAGGCGAGGCACAGGGGGCGGGGTGGGGGGTGTCGCCGCTACCTCACTCCCTCCTTCCCTGCAGCCTGTACGACATCTACTGGACGGAGGTGGTGGAGGAGCGCCTGCGGGCCCTGGAGGGGAGCAAGCCCGGCCTGCGGATCATCTCCTGACGCCCCTCCCCGGACGGCCCTCCTCCCCCGAGGAGTCCTGGCTTTAACCGAGAGAAGAGCTTAAATCAGCTCATTTTTGGGAGAGCATTTTAGGCACTTTATTAAAACGCTTTTCTGGCAGGAGGGGTCTTTGTCCGTCCCCGTGGTCCCCACGAGGCTCTGGTGTCAAGGCGGTGATGTTTTTGCGAGCACCACAGACGTAGCAGCCTTAGGCAAGTCAAGTCGGGTCCGGGCCTGGTGGTGGGTGTGCCCAGCGGGGTCCTCCGTGGGCGTCCAGTCTGAGCTCCCCAGGTGCTGGTGGGGTCCTGCTCCTTGCGGCCTCTGAGGCCAGCCCATCCTACAGGCCTTCCCTGTAGGACGGCGTCCCGCCTGCACTAAGGGGCACCAGAACGTGGCCCCTGGCCTCGGAGCCTGGCTCACCTTGGCCAACAGCGTGGGTCGTTGGCTGGCAGCGTGCTCGGACCTCCTGTATGTGGGCCGGAAATCCTGGCTGGGAGCTGCTCCCAGGGCCTGGCCAAGCCTGCCAAAGGCTGGCTCCCGAGTGCTCTCCTGGTGGAGGCTGGAGCCCTGTGGACGTAAGGGCAGGCAGGGTCCGCTCCGTCTCGCTGGCCTCGCCTGGCCGTGGGCGGACAGCGTAGGGGTGACCCGTCCTGAGCAGCACAATCAAGGTGTGACACTGGGCAGCTTTCAGAGGGTTGGCGCCTGGGCAGTAACTTGCTGCCATCACGACGAAGCCCTGAAGCTCTTCCCAGGGCCCCCGGAAGAGAGCAGGTTCTGTGGAGGACTGGGTGGACCCACCCAGGTCTGGGCGGGAGACGCTCCAGGGGAACCTGCACCCACCGTGGGCCAGAAACCGCTCCCGGGGGCCACGCCTGGGACCGGTGAGCAACACGGGCCTCCAGCCTTGCAGGGAGAGCGCAGGCCACAGGAGGGAGATAATCTGGGACCAGAGCGACTGTGAACCCCGTGACACCGAGAGCCCTGGAGGTGGGCAGACAGGACACTTGGTGTCTCCACAGTGGTGGGACAGGCGTCGGCCCTAAACCCAGATCAAAGGTGACACTGGGACGGCAGCGGGTGGGGCGGGGGGCGCCGCTGTCCGTTCTCACGACCGCCGCCCTAGGTTTGCAATTCTCCCCAGAGATGGTTACGGGAAAATAAACTAAGGAAACAAGTCACCACCGAGGCCCTGGCGCTCTGAGAGGCCCTGCCCTTGGGAAGGTCGGGAGTGTCACCCTTGCCCGGAAATCAGGGCGCTTCCCTTCGCTGGTGCGCGTGAAGCCTGAAGACGGGGTGCGCCACCACCCACACCCCACCCAGAACTAGCTCCCTCGGACGGGCCCGAGGGGCAGATGCAGCAGGAGGCACCAGGGGGACCGGCGACCCTCGTGCCCGCTGGTCGTCTGCCAGGACAGGTGTCCAGCCCAAGTGGCTCCCAGCTGCCCTCTGGGCGGCACAGGGTAGGGTGGGGGCGAGGGGCAGCGAGGAGCTGCGGAGCTGCAGGCCATCACCGTGGCTTTTATTTGTTCTGTTTGCTCGTGGGGGTGACCTCAACCCTGGGCCACAGAGACCCTCCCTCACGACCCGCCCTCCTGACGGCGGGCACCAGGCCTTGGAGTCTCTGACTCGATGTGCGGGCAGCCCTGTCCACGCACCCTCTGGGTCGGAGGGTCAGATGGAGGCTCCCGAGGAAGCGGATCTGCCCTCTCCTAGCCACACCAGGGCGTCCGTGGGCGACTGTCCTTCACACGTGCCGCCAGACGGTCGTGGGGCACTGGCGGGGCCCAGGGAGCGGAAAGGGGCACCGAGACGCTGCTGCCTGGCCCGGGCCGTCTGGGCACCAAGGCTCGGGGTGGCCAAGGCGGCGGGCTGACTGTGCAGAAGGGGGACCAGCCGGCCCAGGGCGAGCCCCAGAGCCTCAGGAGCACACGTGCACACACACACACGCACCCACACGTGTGCACACACCACACGCGCGCGCGCCCCACCCCACCGTGCACGCGGGAGAAAAGGGACATAGAACCTTGAGGGCTGAGGCCTGCTGGAAGGCTCCTGGCGGGAATCCCAGAGGGTGGAGGGCGCCGGGCCTGGGCTCTGCAGGCCCAGCCGCAGCGTCAGTGCGGTGCTGGCGCCCCCTCCCTCTCGGGCCCCGAGGGGTCGTCGGGCCCCGGTGGGCGCCCGTCCGCGCTGCCGTCCGCGCTGCCCTGCTGCTTCTGCCGCCGTGTCTCCTTGTACCTCAGGGTGATGTCCCTGGGGACGGCGGGGGCTGCGTCACCACCGGCCGGCCCCCGGAGGTCCCCGGACGCCGCCCTGCGGGGGAGCTGAGAGGCTGGGGCGGGCAGGCGGGACCGTCGGGGCCTCGGCGCTCACCTCAGGAAGAAGCGCCAGGCGGTCCAGGTGAGGGCGAGCACGGAGCCGAGCGTCCAGCACTGGGCGATGTAGAAGGGCAGGGACAGCGCGAGCGTGTGCGGGTCGTATTTCCCCACAATGAGCAGCTCCGTGGCGGTGATGGCCGCCACCAGCCA